GAAGGAAGGAAAGGGAAGGAAGGAAGGAGATGGGAATGTGAGGGAGGAGGGAAGGAAGGAGAAAGGAAGAAGGAGCATTAGAAAGAAAAAGAAGGAAGGAGAGAGTCATGGGAAGAAGTAAATGGGAAGGAAGGAAGGAAGTAAAGCATGGGAGGGAGGGAGGAAGTAAAGGAGGGAGGGAGCAAGGAAAGAGGGAAGGGAGGGAGGAAAGGAAGGAAGGAAGGAATTAGAAAGGAAAGGGAAAGGAGAGGAAAGGAAAAGGACTAAGAGAACAGTGGATCTCTGGATGCTGCCATATCCCCTGACCTCTGTCCAATTTGGCTGAGGCTAATGTGATTTGGAACTGGACGCCCATCGACTCCAAATTACACATTCTCCCAAGTTGTCCTAATTGTGTTTTTTAATTGTAAATCAGAGCTGGGGGGGGGGGGAACAGAGGCTTTCCAGTCAGAGGGGTCTCTGCCCTCCCATGCCCTATAGCCAGCATGCAGGATGATGGGAGGGGTAGTCCCAAGCCTCAAGCAGAGCAAATCAATCCATCAACGCTGCAACCTGCCCGCAGCTTAGAAAAGTTGCCATGAACCGGCAGGGCTTTTCGGGCCCCAGATAAAACCCGAACTTTGAACGGTGGGGAAAGGCACGGGTTACCTTGTGTGGACACTAGAGGGCAGCACAGAATGCTACTATCTCTCGCCTCCTGCTCGGAACAGCAACTCTCTCCGGGGCTGTTGGAACTACAACACCCAGAATTCCCAGTAGGATGCTCATGGGGACTTCTGGGAACTGCGCTCCCCATGCCTTTGGAAGGCCGAAGAGGGGAAAACGTACCTTGAAACAGAGAAGGGAAGACGTGGTTTTTGTTTTTTTGGTTGTGCCAAGTTCTGTAACAATTGTCTTTCATTGAATACTTGGTATTAAAGAACGTTAGTCAATAGTAAAAGCAGTGCAGACTTAAGAAAGAAAAGAGTAATGAAAAAAGGTGACTAGGTTTTTTAAAAAAAGGAAAAAGAAGGAGAAAAGTATAAAGAAGTGACTTTCCACCTTTAGAGCAGTTACACACAAAAAATTATCATTTCTCCCTCTAAGATTGCACCACAATTCTTCCCATATTTTACCTTTCTAACCATCAAAACTATTGTACGTAGAATTGCACGATACACATACAATGGCAGGAATCTGGTTCTTAAAGCAGACTGTACAGGCAGTCCCAAATGTCTGTTGTTAAGTGGGTTTTGTCCCGTTTTACAATCTTTTTTGCCCCAGCTTTTAAGTGAGTCCCTGCAGTTAGGAAGTTAGGAAGCCGTGTTAAATGAATCTGGCTTCCCCTGCTTGTCAGAAGGTCGCACAAGGGGATGACGTGACCCCGGGACGCTGCGACCGTCATAAATACGAGTCAGTTGCTGACCCAATGGGAATTTCTCCCTGGAAAATGTCATATCTAGAGTGAAAAAAAACCTCATTTGATAATCCTTAAATAGATAACGGTATAGTTACGCACTTCTCTTTTCTGGCCACAAGGTGGCGGTCTCTCCCCGCTTTTCTTTTTCAAACCGTCTTTACTGGGGAATCTTTTAGAAGTTGCTTCAGAGGGGAGGGGGGAACTTTTTGGGGGGTGGGAACAGCCCCCCCCTTGGCTTTTGAGTGATGGGCCAGGGGCTCCTCTTCTAAAAAGAGAATTGACCCCAGAGAAAAGGCTAGGAGGAGACAATATTTTAATCAATCTTAACAGGGATGTTTGCCTTGTGTTCAGTGATCTCATTTGCTCCTGAGAAATTATAATGTGAGATATCATATTGCACTAATTTAAGAATTATTTTGAACTTCCTGGTCTAGTGTATAGTTTTGGAATGGGTTATATTTGAATCTTTCTTTCTTTCTTTCTTTCTTTCTTTCTTTCTTTCTTTCTTTCTTCCTTCCTTCCTTCCTTCCTTCCTTCCTTCCTTCCTTCCTTCCTTCCTTCCTTCCTTCCTTCCTTTCTCTCCCTCCTTTTTTCTCTCTCTCCCTCCCTCCCTTTCTTTCTTTCTTTCTTTCTTTCTTTCTTTCTTTCTTTCTTTCTTTCTTTCTTTCTTTCTTTCCCTTTTTGTCTCTAATCTCATCCCTCCTCCCTCTCCTCCTTCCTTCCTTCCTTCCTTCCTTCCTTCCTTCCTTCCTTCCTTCCTTCCTTCCTTCCTTCCTTCCTTCCTTCCTTCCTTCCTTCCTTCCTTCTGCCATCATTCCCCCAAGAGTTACTTTTTAATTTGCTCTTTTGCTTAACCCAGAATATTTAGTTTCCATTCACCAAACAAAAACCAAGTGGGATCTCTGATATCATGAATTATTCCCAGCCTGAAGATTTGTGCCCCCACGGCACCCCCACGCAGAGATTTCAAAATTTGGAGAGGGGCAAACATTTTGACAGATAGCAATGTTTTTCAGGACGGGTTGGCTTCCAAATCCAAATTAAATCAATTCCTCCCCCCCCCCCCCCCGTTATTAGAGACAAGAAAGTTATATTATGTCATACGGAAAATTCCATTTCAGATCAGCCAGTAAAAAATTATTAGTTATTATGGATGGCCGCTGCAGCCACAAAATTGGGATAGATGACACGAGAGTCCGGTACAAAAATGGATTCCTGCTTTCCTGTGATTTAAACAATTGTTGTGCTTGTGTTGCACAAAAAGGGTGATAAATCAGCAGCTTTGTGCAAAGGTTGTGAAATCTGCAGGGGGTGACTCTCTGTTTATACTCAAAAATCTCCAGAAACTATTAACTGGGTTTGTGCGACACCTTAAAATCCTAAAGTTGAGAGTCGTAAAACTTGATTGCTCTCTTCCCATAATACGCCATGCTAAAGCATAAGATTCTGGGGTTCCTGTGTCACCCCACATGCAAAAGTGAACACGGCACTCACAAGGTCTCCTTAAGCTGTCTCAGTTCCAACTTAGCCCATCTTAGCTTCTTCGGCACATCTGGATTTGAAGTGTGCATCATAGCTCTCCAGTTTAAAGTGAAATTTCCTGCCCTCTCCTTTCTGGGGGGGCAGTATGGATGACAGCCTCTCTGATCACTCTACCAAAAGGGAAAATGAAATAAATAAATATAGAACATAGAACATAGTCACAGAACATAGAACCATTGGGCTGCAAAGGACCTTGCAGGTCATCCAGTCCAACCCCTCGCTCAAGCAGGAGAGCTTATACTATTCCGGACAAATAGCTGTCCAGTCTCTTCTTAAAAGTCTCCAGTGATGGAGCACCCACAACTTCTGGTGGCAAGCTGTTCCACTGGTGGATTGCCCACACTGTTAGGAGGTTTCTCCTTAATTCCTGGATGTTTCTCCCCTTGATAAGCTTCCATATGGGCTGTTGATGCAACCCAAGACTGCATTGGCTGTTTTTTTTTGGCAGCTGCAAAAAGCTGTGGTCGTAAGTTGAGAACTACCTGTAATTGTGAGAGGTTGTCCACTACTAGGAGTGGACAACCACTACTAGGAGTGGCTCCTATTTAAGTGGTTGTCCACTAGGACTCCTAAATCCCTCTCACAACTGCAGATCGTCCTCCACGTACCTCCGCGATTGAGTCGAAGATTTGTTAAGCGAGTTTCGCTCCGTTTTACGACGCAGTTGTTTAGGGAACCGCTGCCGTTGATAACTTC